AGGCAAGTTTATAAAATCTGTAAACTTTTGGGCAGGAAAAAAAATTAAAGCATACACAGGATAATGTTCATTTGATTCAGCTATTTAAAGGGAATAGAAAACAAACAAATCTAAACTAGGAAAATCCTGTACCTTACAAATCTGAAAACATTTCTAACCGGACCACCCCCATACACAAATAATGGTCTAGTCTTTGTGTTAATGTGGCCTGGATGGTAGAAGCCTACTTCTGTCTGAATGAACTGCAACAATTAAATCCCTTATAAATCTACGAGTACTTCGATTAAACACGTACACGAACTGTGACATCAGCCACACATGGTGCACGAATCGCATTCAAGTACCAGTGATATTTGCACGCTGTTGTTTGATGAACCTGTTGACCTAAGATTCACAATAAACAAATGCTCTTCAATGCCTTGTAAAAACTCCATGATACCATGATTTTTGGGATAGATCTATTTTTTGAGGGAATTGTCAAGTGCATGCTGAATAAAGGGGTTACTAATAACGACCTGTATTGTAAGTCGTTGCACACGTGTCAGATTGATTCTTATCTGTTTCTGTATTGGTATAATTTCACAGTTGTCATGTAGTATAAAAAACTGTCTGTCGTATCCATGTATCACTGATGCACTGTAAAATACTTTATTTTCGCTGGAATTAATTTTCGCTGAAAAGACCTTTTGGGCGTTTTGTATGGAATTTATTTTCACTGATTTTTGACTATTTGAATGTAAAATATAAGAAAAAAGGTATATTCGCTGGATTTTATTTTCACTGAATCGTCCCTTCAGCGAAAATAGCGAAAATTAATTCCAAGCGAAAATAAAGTATTTTCATTATGGTTATTATTTCACTAGTTAATCATCTACTAGCATGTGAATATACTAGCTACATTGGAAGCATTCCCGTTTACGCAACTTCCAGATTTTTACCAGATTAAAGTTGATTTAGTCATGGAGGTGAAGGAAAGATTTACCTCCATGATTACTACCTCGTGCTAAAATATGTTTGGATATTTAGAGTACTAAGAAATTCCCACTTCCGGTCTGGTTAGACTTAAAATACACCACAAATACTCAATTTTGAGATATAATTTTTGGTTTGGTATACATAAAATTTGTTGAAAACAATTTAGCCACACATTTACTTCTATTAAATAGCACTTTTATTGGAGTCAATGCCTTACAAGAAAAGTTTTGGTAAAATGAATAACATCGCTATGTTGAAAAAA